CTAGTTTTAAAGTTGAAAATCGAAAAGTTGCACACGTGGGGACACGCCCAAATTGATAGAAAATTGCTAAAATTACTGAAAATTGCTGTTTTCACCATTTTTATCAACTTTGGAGTCCCGTTGTGATCCAAGTTCTTTTTGAAATCTTCTGAAACTTTTCATGCTTATCAAACTATATATTAAATATCACTATGCAAAAATTGATGGTCATTCAATATTTTATGCGCACGCAACGTCCGCTCAAAGTTTGCACGTGCGAAAGGTGAGAATTTTGCTCATTCGTGATTTCGAATATATTCTGCTTTCCCACGATATTTAAATGGCATTAAATATATGAATTTAATGCCAACTTGAATGAGTAAAAAGTGCCATATTCAGTCAGGTAAAATTTCGAAATCGATGAAATTACCTCCTAATTATTAATATAAATATTAATGAAGTTATGAGTTTACATTTCGGCTTTGTAAATTATCCTGACATAATTATAATCAAAAAGAGATGATATTTGACCAAAACCCATAATCATGGGTAGAGTGTACCGCTGCCAGTGTCTCTCTTTTCCAAACAAAAGGAAATGATATTAATTTGAATAACCGTCCGCAAATGCAAATTGATACCGAGAATGAAATCGGTCGCTCGCTTTTTCCATTCAATAAGCTTTATTACAATTCGTAAGCCGTGATCGAATGGAAAAAGCGAGCGACCGATTTCATTCTCGGTATCAATTTGCATTTGCGGACGGTTATTCAAATTAATATCATTTCCTTTTGTTTGGAAAAGAGAGACACTGGCAGCGGTACACTTTACCCATGATTATGGGTTTTGGTCAAATACAATATATTGAAATAATGTTCAAAATCAGCTGAATTAACTGAATAAATAGTTTGAAATTTTGAGGTTTGAAGCAGTAATATAATGAACAATGCTCACTTACTTACCTGAGAAATCAAATGTTTCAGATCGAACAGAAGCTGATGACCTATGTGCGTACATGCGAGAAGTTTCGTGAAATGGTTCAAGCTCAGCTCCTACCTGAATGGGAGGACCCATTATTAGGGGTTCCACGGAGATCAGATCATGTCGACAATTAGTGACCTATAATTAGTGATGTGATCAGTGGCGTAACGTTGCTTGTTGGTGCCCCCCCCCCGCCCCGCCGAAAATGCGCCCCCTGTTGACGCCCCTTTTTGCACCCCTCCCTAAAATTGAACAAATTAGTTGATTTAGAGGAGACACTGGTAAAATCTCTAAAAAAGTGTGTTTACAGAGCAAAACGCGCAGTTTTGCTAGTATTAATTGACGATGTCAATTCATCTCAGCTCGGCGCGGCACAGTAGCTGGTAGCACTAGCGCATCTCGCCGATCTGTGAGAAGCCTCATTGAGTGCGCGGCGCGGCACAGTAACGCATCGCGCTACAATTTTGCTAGTACCTCAGTTAAGTTTTTCAAAATTTTCACTAATTGGTGACATGATCTGATCTTCGTGGGACCCTTAAAAATGAGGGGACTTGGCCGTCGTGCAGCCACCTGAATCCAGATTCGGCTCTTTGGAGAATATTAACTGCCACGGAAACGAATGAAACTACCTTATCGGACCTTATTTAGACGGACATTAAATAAATGGACATAATTATGAACGGACATTTATATGAACGCTAGAAGGCATTCAAAACCATCAAAAATCCGAATTTTTTCCATTTCTTTTGACGTTTTTTTTTATACCAGCAAATGATCTTTAAATCCATTTTTTATACAATAGCATATAAATATAATATAAGCATCTCAATACTCAACACTCAATATATTACATTGCAGCAGCCGACCACAATACAGAACAGTTTTAAGTTCAACGTACAATTTTTATTTTTTCCATCGCCTAAAAAGGCAATAGATGGTTAGAAGTGGTAGGATTTGAGAATGGGTATAGTGGGTATAGGTTTTTCGTCGTGTCACAAAGCAAAACATGCATTAACCTCCGCAAACACGTGCTCCTTTACAAATTATCTCTTGATGGTCGCGCGCGCATTTTACAATGCTTTTATGTCAAGGTGTACTCTATACCAAGAATCGAGCTAATAAATCGTGTACGGCGCGCATGTATATCTCTTTTCGCTATTATACATTTTGATTCGCATTCAGCATTGATATTTGTCGTTTAAGCTTTCGTTAACTTCATGCGATACAAACTTCTCATTTTGTTGTGGGTGCTTGGTGCAACCCAATATTAGTAATCCGTTATGTTGTTGTATAAATTATGATGTTATGACTATCATGTTGAACATGATTGCCAATAGATTGATTCATTATATTTAGACGAAATGAACGATACATTTTATTATGATTCACATTGTATTAACTACCACAGATTTGATTGGGTGACATCTGTCCGACAGTCGAATTACCGGTTTCGGACAAGAGTCGCTGTCAGATAGGAGTCGTTTTTGGCGACATCTGTCCAACTTTCGGATCACATTTGCAATTTCGGATCACGTTCGTATTTCACTAGCTCACGTGTAATCTTGTGACGTTGCTCCCACAGTCCTAATATAATGCTGATTTGATCCATTGAGATCTGATCCATTGAGATTTGATCCATCGATACGTGATTGACTATTTGAGGACAGGATCATGCTAGCCGTACACTAACAAGCTGTAACAAGCTGCCAATCACATCACAGCCTACATTACACACAGGAGATCGGTATGGAGATCAGTTATTTATATAACATTTAAACTATTGTCCAATTTTTGACATCAAATGAAAATAAACTATGGTAGAGTTCAGCTCAGGTCATATCTCAGTTCAGATCATGTCTCTAATTGGAAAATGGAAATGTGTCGTATTGCAATTAGATCACAATTTCGGACAGATGTCTTTTTTTTCTGGTAACATATTGAGTCGGACAAGAGTCGCTGTCGGACAGATGTCCTTTTAACTGCATCATGCATATCACCGTACAGGCTGCGCTACGGTGTCCGGTCGTTTAACTTTCGATTCAAATAATTGACAACGGCAACCCCTCCATTTTGTTCTCTGTAACGCCCCAAAGAAATTTGGTAATTTAACCAATATGAAACGATTGTTAATTGTAATTAATTACGGGCGATGGAAATCTAGCGTCCGCTAACCGGCGCAATTCTTGTTACATTTTATTGTTACAAAAACCTACTATTTATTGTTACTAAAACCAACTATTTATTGTTACTTTTCTATGTTGTCCTTTCAATAAAGTTGTACTATTAAGCATGAACAAGTTTTTTTTCTCTGCAAATACCAGTGTACTAAATTGTGTGAGTCCTATATAATTTAATGTTGTTTCTTCCCGGTACTCCTAGCGAAAATTACCCGCGTGAACCGAGCGTCCGAGCGTACCCACTTTTAAAAGGTAATTAAAATAGAGTATTCACATATATCACCTTGTGGAATTTCAGACTGTGGATGCTTCTCTCTTCTACCATGAATCAGATGATAAGGAAGGAGCTAATATCTCAGAAGATCAGCGAACTCTTATGGCTGACGGACAACTAGGAACCTTTCAATTTTACCTAGTTAACTAATTAACTGCAAGCTTGGGAAATCCAATCAGCTCCGACAACTAGGAACTAATCATTACATATCCCCGACAACTAGGAACCTCTGGAGATACTTTAAACATTCAGGTGTCCACTGATTTCACTGCTGTGCTGTATATATTTCTGCACTAATTAAGACAAAGATCCGAGTATTTGGAACAGATATGGAACAACTGGTCATCGGAAGTTTTCCTTCTAATCCTTTTCTTAGAAGGCGTTTTTCCAACACCCACTGAACACCCAGTCGATCGATAATCGATATGGTAATCAGTGATTACTTTTTTTTTTTTTTTTTTTTTTTTTTTTTTTTTTTTTTTGTGATTACCTGCTGCTCCCGAAAAGCACAATAGTACTCTTGCACGGTCGGCTTGGGTCGATTCTGGGTCACCGACAAGGGCTGTTCAGCAGCTTTCCGCTTCAGTGAGGAGAGGACTTAACACTTCTGTGGAGCAGCGTTGTAAGCAGGGTGGTTGTGGAGTTTGGAGCCAAGGGATAAAGAGTTATCTGACAGGTTGAGGTAGGCATGATTGGGACACTTGGTAGGAGGGATGCGCTTCCAGCATCGCCAAGCAGAGTAGATGGCTGTATCTTTAGCCTTCTTTCTGGAGTAGATGTACCCGTCCGTGTCCACCAGCTGTTGAGATCCTCTCTGTCCTTCGATGAATTTGGAGAAAGCAGGCATGTTGAATTGAAACCGATACTCTTCATGTTCACGTTTCAGTATATATACTTATATACCAGAAGTGCAGTTGTATATTATATTAACAGCTGATCAACTCTCGTACTTGTGATTACTGATTGTATGTCTTGTATCACTCCCATTGCATGCTCGGCTCACATCCTTGGATACGAGAGGTTCCTAGTTGTCGGTCACCGGTCTTATCAGCTCAGTTAAAAAAAATTATTACACCAGATTTGAGCAAAACACTGCGACATTAGATAGTTAGTGGAGATCAATTGTAGTTCTCAGTATCATTGTTTGATCCGACTAGTTCTAAATAACACATTGAAGCAGTGTGATACAATACACTGTCTTAGTATTGAGAGGTAATCAACAGAAAATGAAAACTATTTGTAATCGCAAAGAAACTCACTTCTTTGTTACTTTGTTTTATTTTGTATGATACGTTTATGAAAGCTACGTCATGTATAAAGAGCCTAAGCTGATTTTACAAACCACAGTCCTTGAAAAGTTTGTGTGTGACTTATACCAGATATATTTGTTGTATGACACCTTCAACAGATGTTAGGCACGTTGTGAAAGGAAAAATCTCTTAGCGCAGATTTTGACAGAATAACTATTGAATTTTACTAAAATCACATTACTTTAAAGAATCCATCCTAATCCGTGAAATTATCACAATGAAAGCTGATCTAATTCGCACACCTTAACTTTGTGAGCGTTGGGAGGAGGTTCAGCTGGCAGTAGGATTAAAGTTTCATGACAGTATAAAGGACTGAAGCAAGAGCCTTTAAGTTTATTGAACATTTGAAAGGATTTTCGTTGTCATCAACTCGTGATGATTTTTCTAGCACTTCTTATCGTCGGGGCTGGAGCCTTAAGGCTGCCTGAGGATAAACCTGTTGATTATTCGGGATACAAGGTAAAAATTATTTGTCTTGTTTCATTTTAATTACAAAACCAATTATTAAAATGCACTTTTTTTCTGGTTAATCTGTTGATGATTTCCATCGTACCATTTAGACACTTCGCGTGGCGCTGGAGTCGGAGGGTCTTAAGGAACTGGTAAAGTTAATGGTGGAAACTGAAGTTATCTCCATCATGGACGAAGGTCTTGGAGAACAGATCGATATTCTTGTGAGCCCTCTGGAGCACCCTGGTGTAAAGGGCAACCTTGATGGAGCTAATGCTAAGTATCAGGTAATGTTTGGAAATACCGCTTTCATGGTCAAAAACGTCAGTCCGTTTGAAAGTCATGGCTTTTAAAACGATGAGACTGATTTTACATTATAAAACTGCTTTGTTTCATGCACAGCCCCATATAAAAAACCATGTCTTATGTAGGTTTTGAGTCATGACGTAGGAGCTGATATCGAGGAGGAGAGATTGGAGATACTACAGGCTGTTCCCGGAGTATTCGACTTCAGGAACTACTACGCAGTTAAGTACCAGCACTCCCATCTGGACGCGCTAGTGTCTCGACATCCTGACAAAGCTGAGACTTTCAGTATCGGAACTTCTTACGAGGGCAGAGACATGAAGGTTAGAACTTTTCATTTTCTGCTGAAGATAACTCATTTTCTTTTAACAAATATCCACCTCTGTCAGCAGTCCGTCGGTACATTGAAATCAGAAATCCTTAACCAAAGTATAAAAGTATCAACACAGACACTTCATAATATTTCATCATCAATTCATAATAAAAAATCGAAACATTAACGGCAATACATGAGCTCAGGTGATCAGGATAAGCAACGACCTCGCTAACGCTGACAGTAAACCTATGATCTGGATAGATGGAGGTATCCACGCTCGGGAGTGGATCTCATCTCACACTGTCCTCTACATTGCTAACAGTCTTCTCTCAGAGATCGACACCGGACTAAAATCTCAGGTTACAATTAAAACTTTAAAATAGCCGTTCTCCGTTTAACTGTTAAAATAGTTAGTAGTTAGGCTAAGCTGGGCGCCTAGTGGCAAGATATTATCTATATTTTAGTACTGATTGTTCAAGTTACAATTCCCTTAGAATAGCTGCTCTCTTATTCGCAGCAGTTTTTAGTAAATAATAAAACCACTCGTGACAAAGACAGAGATTATAAAAATTATATCAGGTGACATCCATGCTAGACACCTACCAGTTTGTCATCTTACCAATGAGCAACCCTGATGGATACGAGTACTCCAGGACCCACAACAGGTACACATAACTCAAATCTGATATATCCTGATTTACCTCGACCCAATTTGCCGCGGCTCTTTCCTTTCCCTAAACTCTCCGGTAAATCGGGGTTTTACTGTACACATATTCGTTATTCATTGTGAATAATCGAAATCTGGTATATCAACCGTGTAGCAAACATTTCGTTATCTAAACCATGATCTATAAATAGTCACAAAATAATATTCAATGAAATAGTCTAAATGGTAAGACTTAATTCATTTCTTGGTTTGATAGCTACAAAAACAAGTTTGAGCAAAACATTTAAACTCAGGATGTGGAGGAAGACAAGACGACCATCCGGCTGTAAATACGGTTACACTCGACCGGACGGAAGCTGCTACTACGGGCAGTGCTATGGCATTGACCCTAACAGGTATGGAATGTAAAGAGGTACTGAGTTTCAGTAGCTGCCCAGTCAGCTTCGTTATTGATGTTAGGATCCTTGCATCATTTCATTTCATAACACACAAAGGAGTTGCAGCCGCATTTTACATGCAGTAGTGAATCCGTAAGAGCTAACCATACCTCAGCAATTCCAGATTTTTTAATGCTTCGTGTGGTTTCATTAACGTAATTTCAGGAACTTTGATGCTGATTTCGGACGTCAAGGAGTGAGCAGTAACCCTTGTAGTGATGTTTACCCAGGAAAGAAGGCTTTCTCTGAGAAGAATACCCAGGCTATGCGGGATTACCTTCTCAAACACAAAAGGTCAGTGTGTGGGATATACTTTTATTTGAGTCTCAAATTAGGGTAATGTTTATACATTAGTGTGTGGGATAAACTTTTATTTGAGTCTCAAATTAGGGTAATGTTTATACAAAATTGTTAATATTTGATGGTTTAATATTTATTTTATTTTGATTTAGATAGGTGTTGCTGCTTTTATTGCAAGCTGCACATAGCGACCACTACTCAAACCAGGGCAATTATACGGTCACATACAGCACAGTCTACGTATTTTATGAAAGGTAAAATGTTCAATCATTCAGCAAGCTGGCGCTGTGTCTCTAGGTTGAAATTTTAATAAATCTGCAGTCTGGCGCAGCAAAGTACTGTACATAATTAAATTAGAATCATTCAGCAATGTCAAGCTTTACCTGAGTTTCCACTCTTACTCTCAACTCTTCTTGAAACCGATTGGATTCGACCGAACCCCACCAAAAGACCATGCAATTCATGACGCTGCCGGAAAAGCTGTTGTCGATGCTATTAAGAGTGAGTAAAATTTGATTGCTAACAATAAATTGAAAGGGCTTTAAACTGAGCTTAAATCAAAAAGTGTTCTAATTTTAGTACCAGGCTGGGTCAAATGATTTATCCAGCCCAATCCAGCTCAGAAGACTTTTCATTTCCGTGGCTTACCTGAGATATAATAAGATCTTACCGTCAAACATTACAATCATAATCGGCTGGGGCTCCACTCATATCATGACCATTTTATGTAACTATTGCACACTCTACAACTCTTACACAGGTCCTCTAACACCTCACTCTACAAGTACAACTCCTACACAGGTCCTCTAACACCACACTCTACAAGTACAACTCCTACACAGGTCCTCTAACACCACACTCTACAACTCTTACACAGGTCCTCTAACACCACACTCTACAACTCCTACACAGGTCCTCTAACACCACACTCTACAACTCCTACACAGGTCCTCTAACACCACACTCTACAACTTCTACACAGGTACTCTAACACCACACTCTACAACTCTTACACAGGTCCTCTAACACCACACTCTACAACTCCTACACAGGTCCTCTAACACCACACTCTACAACTCCTACACAGGTCCTCTAACACCACACTCTACAACTCCTACACAGGTCCTCTAACACCAAACTCTACAACTCCTACACAGGTACTCTAACACCACACTCTACAACTCCTACACAGGTCCTCTAACACCTCACTCTACAACTCCTACACAGGTCCTCTAACACCACACTCTACAACTCCTACACAGGTCCTCTAACACCACACTCTACAAGTACAACTCCTACACAGGTCCTCTAACACCACACTCTACAACTCCTACACAGGTCCTCTAACACCACACTCTACAACTCCTACACAGGTCCTCTAACACCTCACTCTACAACTCCTACACAGGTCCTCTAACACCACACTCTACAACTCCTACACAGGTCCTCTAACACCACACTCTACAACTCCTACACAGGTCCTCTAACACCACACTCTACAACTCCTACACAGGTCCTCTAACACCACACTCTACAACTCTTACACAGGTCCTCTAACACCACACTCTACAACTCCTACACAGGTCCTCTAACACCACACTCTACAACTCCTACACAGGTCCTCTAACACCACACTCTACAACTCCTACACAGGTCCTCTAACACCACACTCTACAACTCCTACACAGGTCCTCTAACACCACACTCTACAACTCCTACACAGGTCCTCTAACACCTCACTCTACAACTCCTACACAGGTCCTCTAACACCTCACTCTACAACTCCTACACAGGTCCTCTAACACCACACTCTACAACTCCTACACAGGTCCTCTAACACCACACTCTACAACTCCTACACAGGTCCTCTAACACCACACTCTACAAGTACAACTCCTACACAGGTCCTCTAACACCACACTCTACAAGTACAACTCTTACACAGGTCCTCTAACACCTCACTCTACAACTCCTACACAGGTCCTCTAACACCACACTCTACAACTCCTACACAGGTCCTCTAACACCACACTCTACAAGTACAACTCCTACACAGGTCCTCTAACACCACACTCTACAACTCCTACACAGGTCCTCTAACACCACACTCTACAACTCCTACACAGGTCCTCTAACACCACACTCTACAACTCCTACACAGGTCCTCTAACACCACACTCTACAACTCCTACACAGGTCCTCTAACACCACACTCTACAAGTACAACTCATACACAGGTCCTCTAACACCACACTCTACAACTCTTACACAGGTCCTCTAACACCACACTCTACAACTCCTACACAGGTCCTCTAACACCACACTCTACAACTCCTACACAGGTCCTCTAACACCACACTCTACAACTCCTATACAGGTCCTCTAACACCACACTCTACAACTCCTACACAGGTACTCTAACACCACACTCTACAACTCCTACACAGGTCCTCTAACACCACACTCTACAACTCCTACACAGGTCCTCTAACACCACACTCTACAACTCCTACACAGGTCCTCTAACACAACACTCTACAAGTACAACTCCTACACAGGTCCTCTAACACCTCACTCTACAACTCTAACACAGGTCCTCTAAGACCACACTCTACAAGTACAACTCCTACACAGGTCCTCTAACACCTCACTCTACAAGTACAACTCCTACACAGGTCCTCTAACACCACACTCTACAAGTACAACTCCTACACAGGTCCTCTAACACCACACTCTACAAGTACAACTCCTACACAGGTCCTCTAACACCACACTCTACAACTCTTACACAGGTCCTCTAAGACCACACTCTACAAGTACAACTCCTACACAGGTCCTCTAACACCTCACTCTACAACTCTTACAAAGGTACTCTAACACCACACTCTACAACTCCTACACAGGTCCTCTAACACCACACTCTACAAGTACAACTCCTACACAGGTCCTCTAACACCACACTCTACAACTCTTACACAGGTCCTCTAACACCACACTCTACAACTCCTACACAGGTCCTCTAACACCTCACTCTACAACTCCTACACAGGTCCTCTAACACCACACTCTACAACTCCTACACAGGTCCTCTAACACCACACTCTACAACTCCTACACAGGTCCTCTAACACCACACTCTACAACTCCTACACAGGTCCTCTAACACCACACTCTACAACTCCTACACAGGTCCTCTAACACCACACTCTACAACTCCTACACAGGTCCTCTAACACCACACTCTACAACTCCTACACAGGTCCTCTAACACCACACTTCTCAAGTACAACTCCTACACAGGTCCTCTAACACCACACTCTACAAGTACAACTCCTACACAGGTCCTCTAACACCACACTCTACAACTCTTACACAGGTCCTCCAAGACCACACTCTACAAGTACAACTCCTACACAGGTCCTCTAACACCTCACTCTACAAGTACAACTCCTACACAGGTCCTCTAACACCACACTCTACAAGTACAACTCCTACACAGGTCCTCTAACACCACACTTTACAACTCTTACACAGGTCCTCTAACACCACAGTCTACAACTCCTACACAGGTCCTCTAACACCACACTCTACAAGTACAACTCCTACACAGGTCCTCTATCACCTCACTCTACAACTCCTACACAGGTCCTCTAACACCTCACTCTACAAGTACAACTCCTACACAGGTCCTCTAACACCACACTCTACAAGTACAACTCCTACACAGGTCCTCTAACACCACACTCTACAACTCTTACACAGGTCCTCTAACACCACACTCTACAACTCCTACACAGGTCCTCTAACACCACACTCTACAACTCTTACACAGGTCCTCTAAGACCACACTCTACAAGTACAACTCCTACACAGGTCCTCTAACACCACACTCTACAACTCTTACACAGGTCCTCTAACACCACAGTCTACAACTCCTACACAGGTCCTCTAACACCACACTCTACAAGTACAACTCCTACACAGGTCCTCTATCACCTCACTCTACAACTCCTACACAGGTCCTCTAACACCACACTCTACAACTCCTACACAGGTCCTCTAACACCACACTCGACAACTCTTACACAGGTCCTCTAAGACCACACTCTACAAGTACAACTCCTACACAGGTCCTCTAACACCACACTCTACAACTCTTACACAGGTCCTCTAACACCACACTCTACAACTCCTACACAGGTCCTCTAACACCACACTCTACAACTCCTACACAGGTCCTCTAACACCACACTCTACAACTCCTACACAGGTCCTCTAACACCACACTCTACAAGTACAACTCCTACACAGGTCCTCTAACACCACACTCTACAACTCTTACACAGGTCCTCTAACACCACACTCTACAACTCCTACACAGGTCCTCTAACACCACACTCTACAACTCTTACACAGGTCCTCTAAGACCACACTCTACAAGTACAACTCCTACACAGGTCCTCTAACACCACACTCTACAACTCTTACACAGGTCCTCTAACACCACACTCTACAACTCCTACACAGGTCCTCTAACACCACACTCTACAACTCCTACACAGGTCCTCTAACACCACACTCTACAACTCCTACACAGGTCCTCTAACACCACACTCTACAACTCTTACACAGGTCCTCTAACACCACACTCTACAACTCCTACACAGGTCCTCTAACACCACACTCTACAAGTACAACTCCTACACAGGTCCTCTAACACCACACTCTACAACTCTTACACAGGTCCTCTAACACCACAGTCTACAACTCCTACACAGGTCCTCTAACACCACACTCTACAAGTACAACTCCTACACAGGTCCTCTATCACCTCACTCTACAACTCCTACACAGGTCCTCTAACACCACACTCTACAACTCCTACACAGGTCCTCTAACACCACACTCGACAACTCTTACACAGGTCCTCTAAGACCACACTCTACAAGTACAACTCCTACACAGGTCCTCTAACACCACACTCTACAACTCTTACACAGGTCCTCTAACACCACACTCTACAACTCCTACACAGGTCCTCTAACACCACACTCTACAACTCCTACACAGGTCCTCTAACACCACACTCTACAACTCCTACACAGGTCCTCTAACACCACACTCTACAACTCTTACACAGGTCCTCTAACACCACACTCTACAACTCTTACACAGGTCCTCTAACACCACACTCTACAACTCCTACACAGGTACTCTAACACCACACTCTACAACTCCTACACAGGTCCTCTAACACCACACTCTACAACTCCTACACAGGTCCTCTAACACCACACTCTACAACTCCTACACAGGTCCTCTAACACCACACTCTACAACTCCTACACAGGTCCTCTAACACCACACTCTACAACTCCTACACAGGTCCTCTAACACCACACTCTACAACTCCTACACAGGTCCTCTAACACCACACTCTACAACTCCTACACAGGTCCTCTAACACCACACTCTACAACTCCTACACAGGTCCTCTAACA